AAGACACTAGTCAGTACTACCAAAGATCATGAGCTTGGTCACCCATTTAAATCAGTGACGTTCAATTTCATTGCCACATTTGTGCATTTTACAGAGTCGAAGTTGAAAAATAAGCTACTCTCACGCCTCTCCTGGCAGTCTGGTGAATGGCACTGCGCAGTTAAAGGGTGCCAGCAGTGGTTAGCCATCTTGCCCATCTGAAGCTCCAAGTAGTTATGCATCCACCACGGAGTTGCGCGTTGACTTATAGTTTCACACGAGCGTATGAAAATAGGTTCTAGCTAACCGCGCAACAAAGTCGTACTTTGATCCTCTCGAGTAAACGTACAGACATAATTAGCCCTCGATCATTCACTCTCTCACACGTAGAGCATGCCTGGCTACCGTCGCATTCTCTTTGCTGTGGACGAAAGCCAGTACTGCCGCCGTGCATTCCAATGGTTTCTTCACTTCATGTGGCACAGCGGTGCCAAATCCAATGGAGCTAGAAAGGCAGAAGACGAAGCAGGGGGAGAAGATGCCATTACTTTGATCCACGTCATCTCTCCCGACCTCAATACCCCAATGGAAGCAGAGGTGCCGGTATCGATGGTGGAGGTGAACGGGGGAAGAGGAAGCAAAGGGGTGCCACGGGTAATGGAGAAGGCGTTCACTGAGGGCAAGGCGGTGTGTCAAGCCTTCCTGCAACTTGCAAGTGAAGCTGGTGCAACATGCTGCAATGCTTGCATCACTGTGGAGAGCCGGTCCTCCATTGGAAAGGCTATCCTTCGATCTGCGCAAATTCGTGGCGCCGATATGATTGTTATGGGATCGCATGGACATAAAGCCATCCATAGGGCAGTTCACCTTGGTTCTGTGAGCAAGTATATCACCCGACACAGTCACATCCCTGTCGTTGTCATTCCGCCTGAGGCCTTGACTTGACTGATCCTCCTATGCGGTACAAGGTTTCCGAATTAAAAATATCTTGATTTTGCTTATGCATCTAAATCTGTTTACTGAAACGGATTATTAAAAAAGGAGAAACAAATCTTATTTTCAATGCGATAATGTGGCATTACAGTGGTCTAAGATTTTAGGCAAAAAGTTATATTTATAAGAGTCGCTTCTGTTTGACTTCTCATCCACCCGGACAGCAAATATGGGTTTTTGCGGTGTAAGACCTCGAGAGGTCGGAGTTTTGGAAACATACACATGGATCTTGGTGTTGTCGAACTTGAATCCTCTGCTAGCAGAGGAAGGGGAATAACACATTAAAATATGTGCGTAAACAGCCCAGCTTTAATGGTAAGAATGATACCCTGTCAAGGAGTCAGACGGAACAGTTTATTTTGCCTTCTAGACTGCCCATATGCAAAAATCGGACTCTTTAAAACTAAATCAGGGCTAGTTTGATGGCATTTTAGGGA